ATATTATATAATATATATTATTATATATATTATATAATATATATAAAATATACAGCCACGCACACCCTTGAAAGGCCTATTTACTTTTTCAGAAAGTAATTATTTTAATGGTTTTCTTGGGCTTCTGCATAGGATAAAACTGTCAGTCATTTTGCACATAGGTTTGGAGGGATATTGTCTGTGTTTCTTGACTGCTTCCTATAAAATGGAAAGATAGCTAAAGCACCTCTTTGTCACTAGACCTGTGTTAAATGGGTATGCACTGCCTTACGCTGGTATTTAAAGTGCCTTGTTTTGAGGTCAGTATTTTTTAGACCCACAGGGACATGGGCAATTCAAGGATGGGGACTATATTAGGACCTGCTACCTTGTTCTGAGATTGAAACTGGCTGTCAGGTAGCTCTTCTCCACTGTAGAATAAGTTAGGTTGTTACTGTTATTTCTGTAATGATGAGTACTTTGAATTTAAAATTATTCAGGGAGTAATTAATCATGGTCAAACCCCCCTGTAGCTCACGTCTCTCCATGCGATAGAAGTGCGAGTGTTTTGTTGGTTTTAGTACAGACCTAAATTCTAATTAATATTTCTGTGTCCGAAACATGTTGTTCTGATTAGAGGCTCTTTGCCTAGGCATTTCTGTGTAGCCTGCCCTGTTTGAAACCCTGCCTTTTTTCTGACTTCACTTCCTGAATCCGTTGACAACACTCACAGCCAAACAAAATACATGTTCACAATGCTGTTATTTGCAAAATATTCCCTTGTGAGTACAGCTGGGGCAACAAAAGGAGAGTTTCTCTCTTGAATCTCAGAGAGAACCAAGTATTCCTTGTAGAAGTAAGGCACTTAGTGCACTTGGCAAGTTTAATCTCAGCAGTTAAATAAGTGTTAAAACTTTGCATTTCACCGCGCACAAACGCACGCGCGTCTTTCATTACAGCTGTGCGTATTGATCACCGAGTCATCTAGTAATATACTAGGAGTGCTGAATTTTAATCTGTGCCCAAGTCAACCAGATAGCAACAGGCTCACTGCCCACCACACTGTTTACAAAACAGATGGAGGTGGAGGCAATATAAACTTACTTTGCCCCGTCTTAGGCCTGATCCTCAAACGAGATGTTGGACCAAAGAAAAGGTTCATCTAAATCACCCCTTTTCTCCTTGTGAAACTGTATAACTGGCACTAAAACCCACCTTGCTTGATGGTCAGTTCCCTGATCGGTCACCAGTACCTCCTGACCTGGACCAAGTGACTCTTGTCACAGAAACCAACCCGTCAGACGATGCCCGCTTAACCAGCAGTGCTATTACTCGGTATTTTTTTGCCTGTGCTACAGAATGGCATAGTTGAGAGAGAAAAAACATAACTGCAATGCTAAATGTCTGTGTGTGCGTATTAGAATAGGGTGGAGCAGACTGTCACTCAGCTGCATTTAATTAACATAGTATTTTATATAATGTATTTATTTTTTACGTAATTAGGTGATTAAGCAAAACGCTTGCTAGTAACATCTCTTCCATAACCCAGCACTGCTGAGAGTTAAACATGCACCTTTGCATGTAATTAATCTCCTTGCCCTGCTTATGTTGCTAGTTGGCACTTGCTAAATCCCTGTAAAACCACACCCAGCAGTGCTGTGTATTATCCCTCTGCTGTCTATTCCTACATATGGTCAAAATCAACTTACCTTCCGGGTTGCTGACATCAGCAAAATGTACTCTTGGCAAACTCCAGGATCCTCCTAGTAACCCTTTGTTTGGTTGGTGTTGTTACAATGGTATTCCTCTGACAGCAGCAAACGCCAGCTAAACAGTGCCTACCTTGACACTTTGGATTCCCATGTGGAAGGAGATTACCATATTGTCATATTTTAAATATTAAAACAACCCCTCATATGATAAAATACATATAATATTGGGGGGGGGGGGGGGGGGGGGGAAGTTAGAGGAAATATACTCCTATGTTTCCTGTAAGGAACTGACCCACAGTAGTTGCAAGTTTCAGGGTATCATTTTGATAACAGTACAGGTATATATATACAATTATTTAGTTACCTTGTGAAATGACCTTAAACAAGGCTGTCACTTTAATTAAAATTATGCTTATTTCTATTTTAAGGAAAAAAAAGACATTTTTAAGACTACTTGCTCTAAAAAGTTAGCATCCACTAATAATGAATATATAATATTTTCTGGCTGTCTTTTGATAGCATCTATTTCCTCTTAGATGTTTGGCTGTAAACAGCAAGCAGGAAAACATCTGGTCTCCTTTCAAATACATGCTTATTAAACTAAATGAATTGGGTAGTGTTGAAAAGCCTGGTATAATAATTGGTTGTCCCCCCCAAAGGAGTTAAGTAGCATGTTTTTAAGGTATATATTTATATTGTCATTTTACTAAAACCCAAGATTATTTTATAAAAAAATACATGGGAAGTGTCAGAGAAGTTGCTATTTTTAGCAAGTTGCTGAAAACAAGCAACAGGAGTTGCTGTTTTTCAACAAGTTGCTCTTTTCATTTCCTGTTACATTCAGTCTTCCCAACTTTTCTGATGCTAAAATATTTAGAACCCACAGTAACACCCAAAGGGAAAGGATTTTAAGATAGGGAAATCATTATAAAATTATTTTACTGTTGACAGCAGCATTGTCATAAACATCAACAAGCCAGGATCAGCGCCTACCTAGGCAGGAACACAGGAATGAAGGTGAATATTTCTGGTTTTGAAGTCTACAGCAGCATGTTTTGCTTTTTAAACACAGCCACTTGCCTTATCTTCTCGAGGGCATTAATTTAATAAAAAAACATGTCAGATCAAGTAGGCAGTTGCTCCAATTATGGAGCAATTTAATACACTGGCTTTCTACCACTCCACAACCTGCTTCAAGTTAGCCATCTAGAACATGGCAAACTAGTCAGGTTACAGTTGGGAACTACAACTTCTGGACAACTCCAAAAGTTGTATTATTAGTTTGGTGCTCAGGATCTACCCTGTCCTTAGACATTCTCCAGGACATGCCTGCAGTTACAGTCTAATGTAACCCCTAGAGTTCAGCATAAAGGGCATTTTCCCAACTCAGGTACTAGCAAAAAAAAAAAAAAAAAAAAAAAGTGTGAGGGGGAAATGCATTTTAATTATTTTATTTTTCTTAAATATAATAGAACCTTCTAGAATTTTTCCAGAAACAGAAACATTAAAAAATTATACTTTATTACAAATGGTAAACTCAGAGTGCTAAAAAAAAGCCTCTTATTTACAAACAATACTGGGCAGTGCCCAAATAAACAACATAAAAATAACTTACAAAGTCATGAAGTAGTTTATTGACATTAATCAACTTTCATAAAATAAAATAAAAAAAGATATGTACATACACAATTTACTTGAAGGCAGGCAGAATAGTTCTTTTTTTTGTTTGTTTATCAGCCTCCCACAAACCTCCCTCCCACTTTTTTTTTTTTCTCTTAAGTAATACTACATAAAGCAATCTACAGTTTCTATTGCAGTTTAACCTTTAATACTGAATGATCATCGAATGTTAGGTCCATGCAGGTCTTGGTCAATGTTAAACGAAGATCTGACATCTCATCTGAGCAAGGAACAGCACTTCTCAGAGCGGTGCTGGCCACTTCACCACCAACTCGAGCTGAAGGCTCGCCAGTCTTTCCACACATGCGCTTTGCAGAGCACAGGCAGGATTCAGCCTTTCAGCTTTTCCCATCAGCTTTATGCATCTGCCACTTTGGGGGTTTTCTTTTGTTGTTTGTTTTAGTTATACCACAATATCACAGTTCTCATTTAAGACAGTCTCTTCAAAACGTTTGCAACTGCTGTGTTAGCATTAGCTGGCACCCACTGTTGACATGGTTCATGACCTTCTGCTTAAGCTGTGCAACCTGTTCTCTGAGCATGTTGGCAGTGGATGCCAGCTCTGAGTTCTGGGCTTTCAAAGTTTTCACTTTTTCTTCCAACCTGGCAATCCTTTCCAACTTCCTTTTCCGGCATTTGGATGCCGCAATTCTGTTTCTCATGCGTTTTCTCTCGGCTTTGATTCTCTCCTGTGACTCCATGTCAATAGGGGACAGGGGAGGAGTTTCCCCTGGCATTTCAGGTACAGTCTGAGGCTCTTCTTTCAGAGCCTGAAGCCTGGGATGCTGCACCGGCATCTGGGGGTTTATGTGATGCTGAGGTGCGTAGCCCATGTTGTTTGCGTTGTAGTTCGGTGCAGAGTTGAGCGCGTTGGGGTTGAAGTTGCTGAGGTTGGCGTACACCGGGGGCTCGCTGTGCAAATTCGTATTGAAACTACTGTTGCCGGCCATGGAGGACACAGGTGCCATGCCGCTGTTAACAGGTTGAGGGGCGGAGGTGACGCTGGGCATGGTGTTCTGGTTGTGCAGTTCCGCCAGGGCTCTCACAAAGCCTTCCGCGAACCCCTCTTGCTCGTCGGTCACATTTTTGGGGCAGAGGAACTGCGTCGGGGTCGGCGTGGTGGTAATTAACCCGTTGCTGGACTGGATGATGAGCCGCTCCAGTTCCGGCGAGGCCAGTTTCAGGAGTCCCACGTCGGGGGAGGTGAGGATGTCGGCGTTCTTGTTCCTCAGGTGCGGCTTCAGGTTGCTGGATGGGTCGGACA